AGTGTTATATATATATATATATATATATATATATATATATATATATATATATATATATATATATATATATATTTACATATTATGTATGCTCATTAGCATGTACTAGTTATTGATATTCAATTTGTATCTTCTCTAATTTTTGCACTGAAACCTGAAACATGTTTGTAAAATTTAAAATTGTTGTTTTATATCTTAGAAAAATAATATCTGTCAACAAAGCCCACTTTACACTGTCATGAATAAAAGTTAGTTAATTAATCAGCATTAAAAATTCATGGCAACAAATTTTAAAATTTCTCCAATTTGTTCTTAGTTTTATGAATTCTTTAAACATCCAGTTTTGATTGTTATTTTCCTTTGTTCCAGATTATGATTATGAATACGTGAGCCCACAGAAAGCTAAAAATCAAATTGGTTCAAAAAATGTTAACCTACTTGTAAGAACTGTAAAGTTACACCACAACATCAGAGTTCCCATTAATCCACAGGTGTGCATCTTATACACACAAAAAATGAAAAAGACACACAATTTTTTGGCAAATTGCGCCCCTGGGATGCCGTAAAAAAAGTTCCAAAAATTTTAGGTAATAGGCAAACGACCCCTGAAAAACAAAAAAAGATACACCAACTCTTTGGAATTGGGGGTCCCAAGGACCCTTAACTTTGAAAAACTAGTGGGAACTTTAAAGATGCATTTTAACATTGTCCATAAAGCTAAATTGGTAGGTCAATATACAAAGCAGCTTTTAGCGGGAAATGCAAACATCAGGTCCACCAGCTAATGACTTGTTTACTAACCAATCTTGGTAATGATATGATAAAGTTGATCAATATCTGAATCCCCAGGAAACAATGGCTCTCCTGTTAGCATCTCCGCTAGTAAACAACCTACTGCCCACACATCTACAGCTCTATAATATGACAAACAAAATGATACATTAGCAAGACATGTTTCAAACATTATATGGTGAGTGAACGAAATCATAAGACATGCATTTATGGCCTTAAATTGATTTGAGTGATTTTTGGGCCTCTATTAGAAGTCATATTAGCTTCAAGAGTGTAGCTCACTTAGAGCAAAAGAACGCACATTTCTTTGACCACCTATTCATAAATTCAGTCATATTTACTGTTATAACAATCATTCATTAGGGACAGCTAAGTTTTAATTAACAACTGTACTTGATAAATTCAGAGGAAGAATTGAAAAGATAACTAAATGCACCAAATGCTACATTCTAGGCAATTCTTTTGCACAAATAGCTCGCCATTTTGTTGTCAGTGCCACTTCAAGACAAGCTGCACAAGATGTTGCTTACTGTAACAACCCTGAGCAACACAAGATCCCTGCAAGTAAAATTTGATTCTGCTTTATGCAACATCTGCTGCAATGAAACTGCAAGACATGTTCATTACAGGGGTGTTACACTTGTCTAGCAATTTTCTGTTGCAACAAAATTGTGGTACAAGTCTTGGGAAAACAAGAAGATCTGTTAGATCTTATAACCGCGCTTTTAAAATTTAACTGTTTTCTTAGTACTACAGTCGCAACGCAGTACATATTCCAAAGCAATCTTTGATGATTCATTGATTACTGTAGACATCACAGCACTTGATCAACATAAACTCTATTATCGCACCATCAGTCGTAGCCGTTGTGACATCTCCGATGACGTAAT